GCCACTTCCGGCTTTTTCTGCTTATGTGGTGCTGAGGAATTGAACCCAGGGCCTCATGCATGCAAGGCAAGCACTCTACCACTGAGCCACCTTCCCAGCTGAGGAATTGAACCCAGGGCCTCATGCATGCAAGGCAAGCACTCTACCACTGAGCCACCTTCCCAGCCCTTGAGGCTTTTTTCTGAATAGTTTTTTTTTTCTTTTCTTTTTTTTGTCAGTTGTGGGCCCTGAACTCTGGGCCTTGGCTCTGTCCCTCAGCAATTCAGCTCAAAGCTAGCACTCTACCACTTGAGCCACAGAGCCACTTCTGGCTTTTTCTGCTTATGTGGTGCTGAGGAATCGAACCCAGGGCCTCATGTATATGAGGCAAGCACTCTATCATTGAGATAACAGTCTCAAGGATTTTCCTGCTCAGACTGCCTTTGAACCATGATCCTCAGATCTGTCTCCTGAGTAGTTAAGATTACAGGCGTGAGCCACTGGCACCAGCTTGACCTGCTGTTTAAAAAATTATATTTTACAATTTTATGTTCTACATGCTAAGTGTACAGGCTTGAAACCCAGTTATATTGTTAACTCATTATCAGAACACTCCTCACATACAAAATTTTTGCTTTTTATGTTGTGTTTTGATAGTCTGGCTACATCCATGAATCTGGCTTCTAACTCTTGATTCTCCTGTTCCAGGAGATGAATCACCATTTGTGTGTGTGTGTGTGTGTAGTGCTGTGGATTATACCTAGGACCTCACACAGCTGCTAGGGGAGTACTCTACTACAGAGCTACATCCCCTCTTCCCCCTCCCCCAGCCCCACACATAAGTTTACAATTCCTGATTTATCGGGTGTAATTTTACTTCCGGTTTTCTGGTGGTTAATTGTAGATAAAGAGTCTCACGGACTTTCCTGCCCGAGCTGGCTTTGAACGACGGTCCTCAGATCTCAGCCTCCAGAGTAGCTAGGATTACAGGTGTGAGCCACCGGCTCCCGGCTTGTGATTTTACTTTTCAGTAAGCCTATATTCTTTTCTCAAACATACCTTTCCTTTAGAAATGGTCTTATCAGATGTTCCTATAAACATGCTTTCTGGAACTCAAGGTGATTGCAAACTGTGGAGAGAATGGCTTAGCAATAGACCAAAGCTAGATACAAAATGGAGGCAGAGATGCCAGGCGTTTCTCCTGAAGTTCACGTCAGCAAAACTAGGTTAAGTACCTGTTACAGACACATTGTCAATAAACCGAAAACGTGTTGTCTGTAGGGGGGGGGAACTACGTATTTATTGGGATTGTCTGTGAGAAATAACCACCCTTAGGTCCAGCCTAAAGTTTTAATTACAATATTTTCTCCCAGAGATCTAGTGATCGCACCTTCCATTTCAGTTTCCCATCGCTCACGGCTAATCTGTCACGGGTTACAAAGAAGGTAGAGCCCTGCTGAAAGGCCTAAAAAGACAAGAACGGCTGTCATCATCAGGGTAAGACTCAACAGGCAAGCGCGGCCCGGGATGGGAAGGCGCAGAAGCAGGATCCCCGCCCCGCCTCCGCCCAGCGCTCCGCCTCTTTGCGGCAGAGCTCTAGCCGGTGCAAACCGGTTCAAGGCCCAGACCGACACCCCACTCTACCCAATCCTCACCACGTCCCCTCCCCCTAGTTCTGCGTGGGAGACTTGGGAGTTGTCAAGTTGCTAACGTTTCAGGAGGCGACTGGAAGTCAGACCGAATGAGCTATCAGCCTATGAAAACGACCGGCGGTTCCTTGGGATGGCAAGCAACCAATAGCATAGGTGCAGGGGCGGACTCTCACCGACACCAGAGGAGGAGGAACGATGAGGGCGGGACCTGGCGCACTCCGAGTCTGCGCACTTGGGTGCTAGCTGCCCGTTCGGGGTGACGTAATCTCCGCCGGAGGCCGCGGCGCCCCGCCCCGCGCCGCCCTCCGCGAACCGAGAGAGCGCAGCTCGAACGGCCAGCCAGCGGCGGCTGCAAAGCTCGGGGGCGGCGCCTACTTCGCCGCCGCCTCTCTCTGCGTTGGTCGTGCTGTCTTTGTCCAACCGCGTCGCAACCGCTTGCGCTTTGTTCCCGGTGCCCGAGTCTGGGCCGACCGGGCGCGCCGCGGAGTAGCTGCCGCCGAGCTGGCGTCGTCGTCGCCCCCCTCTCAGTCTTTCTTCAGGTAGAGTCTTTGCAAAACACAAGGTATCACATGGGGAGAGACAGGAAGAGCATGTGGGTGGTCTGGCTTCCACCTTCTTT